AAAAACCCATCTCGGGCCGGGCGCGGTGGCTCAAGCCTGTAATCCCAGCACTTTGGGAGGCCGAGACGGGCGGATCACGAGGTCAGGAGATCGAGACCATCCTGGCTAACACAGTGAAACCCCGTCTCTACTAAAAAATACAAAAAACTAGCCGGGCGAGGTGGCGGGCACCTGTAGTCCCAGTTACTCAGGAGGCTGAGGCAGGAGAATGGCATAAACCCGGGAGGCGGAGCTTGCAGTGAGCCGAGATCCGGCCACTGCACTCCAGCCTGGGCGACAGAGCGAGACTCTGCCTCAAAAAAAAAAAAAATAAAAAAAATAAAAAAAATAAAAAAAAAAAATAAAAACCCATGTCAATGTATATGGTAAATACATACAATTTTACATGCCAATTTTAAAAACAAATAAATTTGAAACATCTAAATTTCTAATAGGAAAGAAATAATAAAGATAAGAGCAGAAATTTAAAACTGTAAAATGAACAAACAATAGAGAAAAATCCACGAACCTGAATGCTTTTTGAAATACCAATAAAACTGAAAAAAGAATAACCAGGAAATATCAGGAACAATATTTGGAAATAAATTTGCCAATTTCGATGAAATGGACAAATTCCTTGAATGACTCAGATAACCAAAACTTGCTCAAGAGAAGTAGAAAACCTGAAAGCCTTCGATCTATGAAAGACATTTCGTATCCTAGGCTCACTCCTGTAATCCCAGTACTTTGGGAGGCCAAGGTGGGAGGATTGCTTGAGGCCGGGAGTTCAAGGCTACAGTGAGCTATAATCCCTCATAGCCTAGACAACAAAGTGAGATCTCATCTTTAAAAAAAAAGTATTTTATTGTTTTTCCTCTGACTCTGTAGATAAAACAGTTTCACGGGAGGGAAAACGAACGAGCAATACAGAAAACTATAGAGAAGAATGTAACTGTCACCCACAGCCACATGAGAGGACTGTCAGGATCCTGGTGGCCCTGCCGCCTGCAATTGCCTCTGCATATGCAGTCTCTCTCACACACACACACACACACACACACACACACAGTCATACGGAGAGTGCATAGCACACATGTATGCTGCATGACCCAGACACATTCATGATTGTCATGTCCCCAACCTGAGTCTCATTTTGACAGCCATGTACCTCCCCACGCTGTTCCCCCATGCCATATGCTAACGCTAGAAAACGAGGTGGGAGGATCACCTGAGGCCTCGCCCATTCCCCCTCCTCACCCACCTTGCCATGCCGGTGCCCGCGTGGGTGTGAATTGGGGGCATCTTTCAAGGGAGGGCAGAAGGAGAACCTGTTGTCTGTCTGCTCCCCACCTCAGGGAGCCCTCCCGCCCTCTTGTGTTTCCTCCTGGGCCCTTGAGGTCACTTGAGGGAAGAGAGGGGAAGCCTAACACACTGGAGACACAGCTTCGGGAAGGAAGACACAGAGCTGAGCCAAACAAAGGAGGCCGCTCTGGGAAGCTCAGGGAATGAGACCCCAGAGGACAGATGAGCATCATGGGTGAAGCAGGGTCAGATCCCCCGTGAATTCAATACTTCAGCCAAGCAAGGTTTACGTCCTAGGGCAGGAGGGGAATAGGCAGCTCCAGTTAAGGAAGGGCCGCCCTCTGGAGACAGGCCCCGGGTCACTCCGGGGGTCTCCCTGCAGAGCCTGTAGCGTTGCTCCCAGACTCAGTGGGCCAGCAGGTCCCTACCTGACAGTTACTGTGCTCCTGGATCTTCATCTTTGCTCCCTGGGCTTCTGCTTTTGTGCCCGTGATGTTGTCTGCAGGGGCCGGTGGCTCAGCGCCTGGTCAAAGTTGTCTGGACGCATTTGCCTGTCTTTGACCTCATTTGCCTGTCCAGGAGTTTCTCAGATGGATTCCTCAAGGTGGGTGGATGAAGGGGGCCAGCCCCTCCACACCTGTGGGTATTTCTCGTCAGGTGGGACGAGAGACTGAGGAAAGAAATAAGACACAAAGTATAGAGAAAGAACAGTGGGCCCAGGAGACCGGCGCTCAGCATACGGAGGACCCGCACGGGCAGCGGTCTCTGAGTCCCCTCAGTATTTATCGATTATTATTTTTACTATCTCAGTAAGGGGAATGTGGCAGGAGAACAGGGTGAGAGTGGGGAGAAGGTCAGCAAGAAAACACGTGAGCAAAGGAATCTGTGTCACAAATAAGTTCAGGGGAAGGTACTATGCCTAGATGTGCATGTAGGCCAGATTTATGCTTCTCTCCACCGAAACATCTCAGTGGAGTAAACAGTAACAGAGCGGCACTGCCACCAACATGTCTCGCCTCTCGCCACAGGACGGGTTTTCTCCTATCTCAGAATAGAACAAATGTACAATCGGGTTTTATGCCGAGACATTTCGTTCCCAGGGGCAGGCAGGAGACAGAGGCCTTCCTCTTATCTCAACTGCAAGAGGCCTGCCTCCTCAGCACAGACCCTTCACGGGTGTCAGGCTGGGGATGGTCAGGTCTTTCCCATCCCACGAGGCCATATCTCAGGCTGTCACATGGGGAGAAACCTTGGACGATACCCGGCCTTCCAGGGCAGAAGTCCCTGCGGCTTTCCGCAGTGCATTGTGCCCCTGGTTTATCGAGAATGGAGAACGGCGATGACTTTTCCCAAGCATACTGCCTGTAAACATTTTATTAACAAGGCACACTTTGCACAGCCCTAGATCCCTTAAACCTTGATTCCATACAACACATGTTTCTGTGAGCTCAAGGTTGGGGCAAAGTTACAGATTAACAGCATCTCAGGGCAAAACAATCCTTTGGGGTACAGGTCAAAACGGAGTTTCTTATGTCTTCCCGTTCTACATGGACACAGTAACACTCTGATCTTTCTTTCTTTTCCCTACAGGTGGAAGGGTATGTACATCTTTCCCTCAATAGAAAATGCCAAATAAATGTCCAGATAGAGGTTACCACCACTCCTACTGACAGCGTATGAGTCCTCGTTTCCAACTACAGCCTTGCCAAGCACTGGAGATTGTCAACTAATACTATAAATGTGCTCTGGTCCCACTGAGCAAATTCTAAAACAAAACTCAAAGGGATCAAGTTGTCTCCAAGCAACTTAAGAGCATCCCGGAACGCAGCTCAAGAATATGTCTGTTTCAGCTTGACATACAGCCCCTTTCCAATGTAGCTCTGGCCAAGATGGTGCCAGTATGTCCGCGCAGCAGACAAGGCACCTCAGCATGTCACGTAGACCCCGCAGCCGCCTGCCCCCTCCCCTGCCTACCATTCATGCCAAGTCCCCCTTTAAAAGGCCCTGCTCTCTGCCCACAAAGGGAAGCAGAGCCCTTAAAGGCAGGAACCTGTACGTCTTCCCCTAAACCAAGCATGGCAGAAAGTCTGCTTCTTCATAGCAGACATCGCTCTTGTTAATTCGATCTCCAAGAGGTGAGGGAATGAACCTGTGTTTTGGTTATATTGCGTGTACACAAAGATTTTAAATTATTTGAATTACTGTTATCATAATTTCAGAGACAGGGTCTCGCTCTGTCACCAAGGCTGGAGCTCAGGGGTGCATTCATAGCTCACTGCAGCATCCAGCTCTTGGACTCAACACATCCTTCCACCTCACACCTCAGCCTCCTGAGCAACTGGGACTACAGGTACCTGCCATCACACCCTCCACCCCTAATTTTTAAATATATATATATATATATATATATATATATATATATATATATATAATGTATACACACACACAGACACACACACATATATATACGTGTGTGTGTGTGTGTATATATATATATATATTTGACAGAGTCTTTTTCTGTCAACCTGGCTGGAGTGCAGTGGCATGATCTCAGCTCCCTGCAACCTCCAGCTCCTAGGTTCAAGTGATTCTCCTACGTCAACCTCCCAAGTAGCTGGGATTACAGGCACACACCACCACGCCCAGCTAATTTTTTTTAAAAATCTTTTTGAGTCGGAGTCTCGTTCTGTCGCCCAGGCTGGAGTGCAGTGGCACGATCTCGGCTCACTGCAACCTCCGCCTCCCGGGTTCACGTGATTCTCCTGCCTCAGCCTCCCGAGTAGCTAGGATCACAGGCGCTGCCGCCATGCCTGCCTAACGTGTTCTGTTTGTATTTTTAGTAGAGATGGGGTTTCACTATGTTGGCTAGACTGCTCTCGAACTCCTGACCTCAGGTGATCCGCCCTGCTCGGCCTCCCAAAGTGATGGGATTACAGGCATGAGCCACCGCACCTGGCCTTTAAATGATTTTTCTACAGACAGAATATCGCTACATGGCCCAGGGTGGCTTCAAACTCCAGGTCTCAAGTCATCCTCCTGCCTCAAGCCTCCCACAGCGACGGGAATACGGGTGTGGGCCACCATGCCCGACCCATATCACAGGCTTAACAGTGAAATGATAATGCTGGTTTTATGCATCTATTCAAGTACATGTTTTTGAAGAATTTTTTCAAAGTAAAAAAGCTCAAATGTTCAATGAAGACAATTTGGGAACAAACTTAATGCTGAGCTGGAAAAAAACAAACTTAATGCTGAGCTGGAAAACATTATATGCTACTGTCACATATTTAACATATAAATGCAAGCATATTGAGGAAAGTATTCTAAAATGTCCACAGAAGAAGCTGAACGGGCGGACCTAGTGGCTTTTCATTTTCCCCCATTTCCCAAATTGTCTTCCATTACCTTGTGCTACTTCAATCTCTGAATCCCAGAGCCTCCCCTGCAACCCGAGGACAAGGGCACGCAAGTCTGAAGGTGCCTTCGCTCGCCGAGAAGAGACTCAGACACGGAATTGTAGCTCAGTTTTATTTTTCATAGAAACAAACATGTAAGCCGGCCTCCTCCAGCGACAAACAATCAGGCCCCCACAATGAAGTGGCCGTGCAAGGACCATCCCCTAGAGGAGGCACGACCCAGGAAGGGGCGCCAGGCTGGGCTTAGCGCTTGTCCTGAGGAGGCTCGAGTAAAACACAGGCAGAAAGCACTGCGAATCCACATCAACAGGAAAGCTGCAGGAGACAGGATGATGGAGGCTGGAGCTGGCGGTGGTCCGCAGCAATCAGTCGAAGCAATGAGAGGCGAAGAACATTACATTAAAGGTGACACCTCTGCACCCATCTCCCCGGCTCCCCGGGTGGTGGCGGCCTGGTGCACCAGGTCTCTCTGTTCTGAGACCCTGTGCTGGGGTGTTCCTAGGTCTCTAGAAAACCTGACCGTGGGGCGGCGGATCCCAGCCCCCCACTCCCATTACGCTGCGCAGGCCACCCACTCCAGGCCCTGTCCCTGTCCTGGTCCTGAACTGACATAGTCAGTATGTTGCCAGACACGGTGAACTCCTTCAGAGCACCCCCTGGCACGGGAGCGGTGGGGCATCCCGGGCCAGGCTCCTGTGGGCCAGCTCTGCTTCCATGGGTGTCGGGAAAGGCATGGTGAGGTAGCTGGGTGGGGCCCAGTTAAGGCATCATCTCCTAGACGTGGGCCTGTGCCTCCGGCCTGCTGCTTACTCCCAGGTCAGCTTCCACTCCTCACCCCCACCCCGATTGCCCAGCCTATCCCCAGGCTGTCTCCCCAGGCACTGGCCCAGTAGCACATCCCACTCAGCTGTCTTGGTTCCACACTTTCCTTTGCTGCACCCTTTCCAAGGTGACTCCTCCATGCCCTTAAGGCCCCTCCCCACCCTGCCCCCTGTCGCATCACCTGCCTCCGTCACCCAACCCTCCCTCTCCCCACCTCCCGCCACCCGCCTCCCATCTTGTCTCCTTCCCCCACCTCCTGATCCTCCTACACCCGGGTCCCCCTATCTCCCTGGCTCCTGCCCCTTCCTGCATGACCCAGTGCCCCTAACCCCATCACCCATCCCCTCTCCCCCACCCTGCACACCCCCTACCTCCCAGCCCTTACCTGCTGCCCTCCTCACAGCTGGCCTCCTGTATCCCCACCTCCCAACTCCCACCCCCACCCCACCCAACCCCCTTACTCACATCTCCCCCGCCTCCTTCCCCACCTGGCCCTGCCCTCCCCCATCTCCTGCCCCCATCCCGCCACGAGAACTGTCTAGAACAGAACAGAACAGAACAGAACAGGATACAACCTGGGCAGGCGGCTGTCCGGCCTCCTGGTCCCAAGAGATCTGCAGCATCCATTCAGCCATGAAGCCGGGCCACCACGTGGCCCACGAGGGACGCCTCCTCCTGGCCCTGAGGCCCTTGCTGCCGCGATGCCCTGAGTACCTCCGCCGCCCGCAGCACCCGCCTCCTGGGCTGCCAGCACGCCCCCTGGGCCACCAGGACGCCAGGGCCCCTGGGCCATCAGTGACGCCCGCCGCGCCCCTGTGCCCCTGGCCTGAGGCCTGCATGGCTCCTGGGCCTCTGTGGCGCCTTCAGAGACAAAGTCGGGCCACGTGAGGACGCGGAGGCAGTGAGGCTGCAGGGAAGTTCGCCTGGCGTGAGAGGGGCAGCCTGGGATCCTCAGGCGCCTGCGCACAGGGCCCTACTTCGGCCCTGGGAGACTCTGAAGCAGCCCTGAGCATGACTGGAGCTCCCCGCCAACCCTGCCCTCCTCCCAAGAGAGCCCAGGCCGAAGGTGGCCGCTGAGATGCTGGCTTGGACCTGGGCTACCCCTGAGCAGCCGGCGATCCACCAGGCTCCCTGTCCCGGAGCCCCAGGTAGTCCGCACCGCTGGGCCCAGCCTGTCTCAGCCTCCTGGTCTTCTCACATCGAGGAGCAAGGCGGGCCTGGGAACACAGGGCCGGGCCGTGCGGCCGTCGGTCCCGACCCTGCCTATCCTGCCTGTCCTTGGGGAGCTGCCCAGGACAGACCCCGGGCCAGGCCTAACTGGGTTCAGCAGCCTCTGTCCCTGTCCTGGACGCTTCAGCCAGGTGGGGTAGCTGAACCGCATGTCAGGTGGGAGTGACCTCCTGCTGTGCCAAGGTCGCCCATAGCCAGGTCCACCCAAGGTGGACGGGAGGGCCCAGCAGGACCCAGGGCCGGGTCTCACTCCTGGGTTCAACAGGCTCTGTCCCTGTCCTAGTCGCCCGCCTGGTGGGGGAGCTGAGCTGGCGGTGGTGGGTTGCGGTGGCCTCCCAGCAGCCAGGCGAGGTGACAGGCGGGACCTGCTGACCTGGAGGCTGGGCTAGCCTGGCTCCTGGATTCGGCAGTATCAGTCCCTGTCCTGGTCGCTCTACCTGGTGGGAGCTGGGAGGTGACTCCTGTGTCTGGGTGCTGATCTACTGTGTGTCCGGAAGGGGGTCAAATCCACGGACAGGTACTCTAGGAGGCATGCAGGGTGAGGCGGCACGGCCCTGGGAGCTGGATGTCTGTGCCAGGCACACCTGTGGCAACAGGAGGTGACCGGACAGGGTCTAGCCCTGAGGAAGGGGGAGGTACTGCAATCCAACCACTTCCCCCACTGTCCAAATCCAGGAATCAGCAGCCTCTGCACCGGGAAAAGCATATTGACACTCACGGAAACTAAAAAGTTGATCTTTGGAGGTAGAGCAGAATAATGGTTACCAGAGACTGGGAAAGGTGGGGAGGGTGGGGAGGTTACTGGGGACAAACATATAGTTGGATAGAAGGAGTAAGTTCTAGTGTTTGATAGCACTGTAGAGGGACTATTTATTGTATATTTCAAAATAGCTAAAAGATAGGAAATGTTCTCAAAAAAGAAATGATAAATGCTTGAGGTGGTGGATATCCTAAATACCCCGACTTGATCATTACATAGTGTGTGCGTCTGCATGTATCAAAAATATCAAGCATATACTCCATAAATATGTGGAGTTATCATACATCAGTTAAAAATGTTTTTATTTACAGGAAAGAAAATTCACTTATTTTGCGTGTACCTCCAGTTCATTATTTTCACTACTGTATTTCATTGCATATATTTCATTAAATGATGAATTTTAAAAACCAGAGAACACAACTTGATAACACAATTACACCCGGAATAGCTGAAATGAGACATAACCTAATTTAGTGATTGCCATCCTTCCTGTCATCCTCTGCTCAGTCCCCATTCTCAGACAGAGGCAGGCTAAAGTTCTTACTCACAGGTCAGGGAAGGGAGAGTAAAGTACACGTGACCCTGTCTTAGGAAGCAGGAAGACAGAGGGAGGGTCTCCTGGTCCCCATTATTTTCCCGGCCTATTATCACCAGATCAAGTCAAGGAAAGAAGTCCTAACTGATTGAGAGATTCCCGGAGATACTGCCACTGTCCTGGAAGTCTCAGTCAGCCACTGGGCCGGAAATCTCCTCCATCAATATTTCAGCCAGAGCAACATCTGCCACTAGATGGCATCAACCTGTGCCGATCAGGACAGGATTTGGATGGTCCAGTAGGCTTGCCTCGTTCACTTCATTAACCCCACAGTAACACAGTTTCACATTGTATGTGATTGAGCTCTGGAAACTACCTATTACATTACGGCAGAGTTTCATAGTCTCTCTAGTTTTATCCATTCTGCTGATGGATGGGCAGGCATTTGGATAGTTTCATCCCTTTGCTATAGAACATATTTGTACAGGTCTTTGGAAGCACATGTCCAAGTTTTTGAATTGCTGTATCACAGGCAATACATATCCTCCGGGAAATTTACTAGATAATGCCATGTTTTCTCAAGGGTTTGAGCCAATTTTCGCTTCCACCGTAATGTATGAGAGTACCTATAGCTCAACATTCTCATCAATAGTGACGGTACTAGTCTGTTCTCGTGATTACATAAAGAACTACCTGAGACTGAGTAATTCATAAAGAAAAGAGGTTTAATTGACTCACAGTTCTGCAGGCTCTACAGGAAGCATGGCTGGGAGGCCCCCCAAGAAAGTTAAGCAACTATAGCAGGAAGGCAAAGAGGAAGGAGTCACATCTTATATGGCCAGAGAAGGAGAAAGAGAAAGTGAAGGGGAGATGCTACACACTTTAAAATCCAGATCTCGTGAGAGCTCACTATCATGAGAATAGCAAAGGGGAAACCAACGCCCATGATCCAATCACCTCCCACCAGGCCCTTCCTCCAACAATTCAGTTGGACTACAATTATAATTCAACATGAGATTTGGGCAGGACATAAATCCAAACCATATCATCTACCCTGCCCCCTCCCAAATCTCATGTACTTCTCACATTGCAAAATACAATCATCTCCTCTCAACAGTCCCCCAAGTCTTAACCCATTTCAGCACTAACTCGAAACTCCACAGTCCAAAGTCTCATCTGAGATAAGGCAAGTCCCTTCTGCCTACAGAGCCTGTAAATCAAAAAAGCAAGTCAGTTACTCTAAGATACAATTGAGGTACAGGCATTGGGTAAAGACTTCTTTCCAAAGGGGGACATCGGCCAAAACAAAGGGGCTACAGGCCCCATGCAAGTCCAAAACCCAATGACAGCCATTAATTCTTTTTTTTTTTTCCCATTACAAAATAATTTATTCAAACACAGCTACAGCACGAGACTCCTGTGCAGGCTACACACTGATGCTCCTGACTACCCTCAACTAGAGGACTTTCTTCCTCTTGCCTTGCAGACCTCTTCTATCGAATCTTTCATGTACTGGATCTCCTTGGCCAGGGAATCTGCCCTCTTTCAGAGCCCTGTTCTTCTTTTCCAGGGCTTTGCACTCACCAGCGAGGACCTCCTACTCCACCCTCTTCTTCTGGTGATACCTAGTTTCTGCTGTTCTGTTTTTGCTCCATTTTTTCAGCTTCTTATCCAGTTTCTCACCCTTTACTTGTGCTGATACCATCTTCTCCCCAGGAGGGTCATAAGGTTTGGGACAGGCAGAGCCACAGAGGACACCTGAGATGGCAGGTCTTACTTGGAGAGCCCCTGAGGTAGAGGGGATACAGAGAGCTGAGATAGGACTCTGGGCTCATACAGATGCCACTATCATTATCTGAGGGAGTGACTTCCTCCTTTATGCACTGAGGGATCATGGAAATGTAAGCAGTGAAGTCTGGCTTCCTATCTCCTTCAGAGCTATCCGCTTCACTTCCCAGCTCTAGACTACAGGAATAATCTAGAGTGGAGGACAGGACCTCTGGGGAAAGGGGAAGAGGTTGCAAGAAGGTGAAGGGGGCAACCTAAGGCTTTGTTCACCTTTCTGGGAGATGGCAATTCGGGTTCACCATATCTGAGGGGGCTCTTATTAGTCTCCTGGACTAGGGGACAAGAGATCACACGAGTCATCCAACGTGCTCAGAAGCTCATCTGGCATGGTTTCCAGGTCATCTATACCCAACAGGGCATTAAAGTCGAATCCCCAGATCCGTTTTCTCCAACATCCAGTCTGTCCTTAAAGAAAGCATCCTCCTTGCCATTGTTGGAGGCACTCCACCAGCTTCATCCACAGGCAGCCATTCGGAGTGGAGTCTGCTCAGCCTTGTTGCTGGAGAACCCATGAGGTTTGAAGTGCCTGGGCCACTCCAGGTAGTCATCTAAGAGACCTAGGCTTTCTTCAGTCCCCAAACCTGACTGGTCAAAGGGGGACATCAAGCCCCCACCAACACCTCACTGCCTGTGAAGCTCATCCTGGTCATGGTGCAGTGCTTTGTTGAATCAAGGAATGTGCTTTAATTCAAGGTGTTCTTTGTCAGTTACAGCAATGCTGCTGCTGAATGCCAGAGAAGTGCCATGGCTTAAGCCGGTATGCTACTGCAGAGCCTTTTTGTGCTGCTAACACTGCAAGACCAATGCTGCCACAGGCACTGCTACCCCCTAATACGCCATGGTGGCCACGACCCTGAAGGCCGGGAGGAGGGAAGGCACGCACGTGGGCGGAGGAAACTACATGTGTGGGCGGCACAGAAAATCGTCATTAATTCTTAAAGCTCCAAAATAATCTCCTTTGACTCCATGTCTTACATCCAGGCTTACACTGATGAAGGGGTGGGCCTCAAGGCCTTGGGCACCTCCGGGCTTCTGTGGCTCTTGTAGCAGGATACAGCCCTTCGACTGCTCTCCCTGGGCTGGTGTTGAGTGTCTGCAGCTTTTCCAGAGAGAATGTAAGTTGCCGGTGGATCTACGATTCTGGGGTCTGGAGGACGGTGGCCCCTTCTCACAGCTCCACCAGGCAGGCCCCAGGGGGGACTCTGTGTAGGACTCAACCCCAGGTTTCCCTTCCACACTACCCTAGTTGAGTTTCAGGAGTGCTCCATCCCTGCAGCAGACTTCTGCCTGACATTCAGGTGTTTCCATACATCCTCTGAATGTGTAGGCAGAGGTTCCTGCAAGCCCTCAGCTTTTGCTCCTGCATACCCGCAGGCTTAACACTACATGGAAGCCACCCAAGGCTTACAGCTTGCACCCTCTGGGGCAGCAGCCAGAAGTGTATCTGGGGCCCTTTTAGACATGGC